ATTTATATGTTATAATAACAAATTAAAATATGTTAATAACACATAGTTAAAAAAAATACATATTCACATGTGAGGAAAATGACCATATATTAGTGACTTAAAAATGACTCATAGAATATAATTGAAAATTATCATATTCACATTTTTATAATAATTTTAAAAAATTAAAGAAAATACTAAGAGATTCAATGATTAACTTTATTAAGTAGAGTATAATAATTTTTTCTGATATTAAATATAAGATTTAAATTCAATTTTTTGCCAAAAAAAATGAAAAATGAATTTGATTCATTATTATTTTTAGCTAAAAGAAATTGTTATTTTTTCACATGATTTATTATTAATATGTATTAAATAAAATATTTTTAAATGATACTTCCAATTAATTTTAACAAAATTAGCTAAATCCAATATTAAAATTGCAGAAGTTCACTCTTGAGAGAAGATTAGATTAGAACCTTCTTGTCCTGCAAAATTAAGTTATATTCAAGATCAACATATTCTCTTCTGCTTTTGGCTTGATTTATGTTTTCAGGCTTGATTTATGTTTTCACTTCTCAAATACGCTCAGCAAATGGGTTGCTACTTGCTAAGCTCATCAATCTCAGCGTTTATATTATTCAAAATGATTTGGAAAATGAAAAGTACAAACAGAATCCTGTTGGGCTGCTGTGAATGAAATACACATTATTAAGATATGGTATTTCTGGAAAGTGGCTTGTGAATCATTCAAGGTTGCCGCCAGCGACATCCAGCACAAACCTATACCTCACATCATTCCTCTCCATTCTCTCAAATGCCTTGTTTATATAATCCATCTTCACCACCTCTATCATCGAAGTCAGACCCTTCTCTGCCCAAAAGTTTAGTATTTCTTGTGTTTCTTCCATGCTTCCTATGAAACTCCCAGTCAGTGTCTTCTTCCCTGCATTGCATGACAAATTGACAATCATGTTGTTTTTGTTACAATGAACAATGCTTTGTAATTTGTATAGACAAATGAACAAAAGAATTTGACCGTAGATTGTGTAGACACCCACCTTTCGAGTCAGTTTTCCTCAGTGAGCTTCAGATAAGATAATAAAAAATAATAAGTAAAAATAGAGTTCTAGTCCTAATAAGATTGGGAGGTTAAATTTTAAAACTGTGATAAAAGGATTTTTTTTTTTTTTAAATGAGGATAAACAGATAAGGGGCATTTTGATTTTTGAATCTTGTACATAGCCCTATACAAACCCGCGTTGATCACAGAGGGAGAAACAACAGCAATTGACAATAAAAATCATACAGAAAACAGGGGAGATACACAATAGGAAAAGTGAGCAGCGACGGAAGGTAGCAGTGGTCATGACCCAAGGAAGTAGAGGCACCGGCGAAGAATGCAAGCGGCTGGCGACGCCAAGGGACAGCAACAATCAGTTCCTGGGTTTCGGTAGCCATATGTAGTTGAAGAAGGAAAGGGTTTTTTTTTTAGCACTAGAAAGAGGACAAACGGATAATTTTATTTTGTAGGTGGCTTTTACAGCAGCAATGAAACACTGCATTTGGAATTAAAAAGGGAGCTGAGCTGTGCCTGCCTGTGTGTTTGTGTGACAGGCTCACAACCGGTTCCAAACCCAATCCAGTTAGCAACCAAAGCTAAGCCCACTCGGAAAGCAACTGAAGCCTGATTCCACTTGTGATCAACTTTCCACTAACCATGGGAAGCGAAATGTAAGGCTCCAGAGGATGCAATGCTGGAACAGTGTCGAGAATGTGATCGAGACTACTTACTGCTCCCTCCATCTCCACTGCATTAGAGCTCACTAGAAAAGCGTCTGCACCCAAGTGTTCTAAAGCCTCCACTTTCTTCTTTTCCGAAGAACTTATCACGGTTACATGATGTCCCGTGGCCTTTGCTATCAGCACTGCCAAATGTCCAACTCCACCTAACCCCAAAATTCCGGCTTTGATAGCCTTATCATGGTTGTAGAACTGCTTCAAGGGACTGTAAGCTGTCACTCCAGCACATAACAGCGGTGCTGCCTGCTCCAGTGCAAGTTTCTCAGGTATCTTTACCGCAAACCTGCAGCATCCACTCTAATATTAATTGACAGGGATTTTCAACAGATTGAAGGACCAAACAAGGTTAGTTCGTTTGCTTGTTCTTGCTTACTTTTGTTGAACAACCATGGCAGAAGAAAAGCTACCTTGAGTGGGAGTTCCATCTTTGTAGATGCCTCCATAAGTCAAGATTCTCTCGCTGCAACACTGTTCACTATTGGACTTGCAAGCCAAGCATTTCCCACAAGAGCTAATTATGCACCCAACTACTACCTTGTTTCCAAGCTTGAACTTGTTTACCTCTAAACCCAGCTCCACAAACTCTCCCACCACTTCATGCTGTTCAAGACAGTCAAATAAAACAATAAATTAACATTACAGAAAACAAGCTTGATATCGAATTGGAACAACAGCATAGGATTATGTTGGAGACGCTAATATTTGTTCTAGAAATGTGCATAATGCCTACCTTGGAACCAAAGGGTAGTTGATGGGGCTAATTTCACTGCTCATCTGATGGAGACCAGTGTGATCTACTCCACAATACATATACCTTTAGCACCACATCTTCTGGACCTGTTTTCCTATCGATAAGGGCATTGGGACTTCAATTAGCATTCATCAAATTTTAAACTTAGGGGTAAGAGAGGGAGCAGAAGAGAAATTAAGAAATTAAAAACCTTAGAGTGAATGAATATGGTGAAGGATGCCCTGATTCATCTCTGGCAGCCCATCCAATGAAACTTCTTCCCTCCATTTCGTGCTTCAATTGATCAGTACAGTAGACTTTATGAAAGAACTGATGAAACAGTAAGAGCCTAATGAAAATGCCATGTGGTTCTTTGGGGCTTTATATCCACAAAAAGTTTCATCATTACTTATCGCCCAAGTACATTCCAACCACAATTCACAGATTCGCCGCCTTGTTATAAATTCAACTAAATGAGGTTGACATGGGATTTTCAGTTTACAGACTCTGCACTGGAGGTGGCTTTGAAGAATGGAACAAAAACATTGTTGTCTGGACCGGAAAAGACATTTGACAATCTTTTCAAGAACCAAGAGATTAGTTATCTTAATCAATCAAATTATTGTATGATCTTTTGCCATGTTTTATCTGCATAACATATAGGAACTTATTGTTCTGAAATTGGATTATTCTTAAGTACGTGATGTAAGAACCATCTGAGTGCAACCCAGGGTTGTTTGATCTTGCTAGTTTTGAAGCTTTTAAGCTCATCACTCACGCCATGGCTTCTTATAACAATATTCACCAAAATATGAAGGGTTTTGACCTCTTTTCATTCATGGGTGTAAGTTGACTTGTCTGACTCTGACTTTGCATCCTTTCCAAAATTAGTTGAATTTGGGCTTCATTACTACTCCAAATTTTGAAAAAAAAAAAAAAGGAAAAATATTATAAGAATAAAAGATCAATTACTTGAATATCTAACTGGTAGATTTTATTTATGTTCTTACAACATTCATTTGAACATCTGTTTTGTCATTCTTGTAACCTATACGGAGATCAAAGATTTAAGTTAAATGGTCAAGTGACACTTTTTTTTAAGCGGTAGGATTGTAAATTAATGAATAGAATGTTCAACCAATGTTTCGTAAATATGTTCAATTTTTGTTAATTTATATTCGTTTATTAAATTTCTCAAATGATTATAAATAATATTTTAAAATTAATTAATTAAATAAATAAATCATAAAAATAATAAAATTTATTTATGTGCGTTTCGTTTATGCTTGAAGATGTAAAATAAATAAAACTTTTGACAAACATTTGATGAATAGGTTTGATTCATATCCTAAGAGCCTATCGCTTATAATTATTATAATATAATTAATTAATTATAATTTAAAATTATGCGAGGATCACAAAATTTTATATAAAACTTACATATATAAATAGTAAATTTTTAGATATTTTTTATTATAATTAAATAATTATAGTATTGTAATAAAAAGAATTATAAGTAAAATATTTTTTATATTTGTTTATTAAATTTAATAAATAATCATAATTAAAAATAATATTTTAATATTTATTAATTATACATAAAAACATAACAAAATTTATTAATATTTTATTTATTTAGGCCTGTTAAGCACATCCAAACACTTTTTTCGAATACCCCAATTATTAATAATTATTAAAGAAATAGAAAATTCCGCATATTGAAACTTTCAAACTTTCAAGGATGAGATAAGCGAAGAAACGAAACTTGCATGGACCGAACCACCCAATCACTCTCACTTTCCAAGCCAAACAGCAAGAAGCAAATGCCATGACTCAAGTGGTAAAGATGAGCTGATGCTGTGGCTCCGATAATAACATCCCCTTATTTTCTTAGTTAAATTAAAAAAAAAAAAAAAAACTTTCACCTCTTAACGGCCATATCCATACTGTTAATTTATTAATTGCAAACTTTGTTGTTTAATTTTGTTAAAATCCAGTGTGAAAACTATGAAAAAGAAAGCTGGCTCAGCCTATTGTCACCAACTGTTACATTAAAACTTTTATATATTTATATCATACTTTAATAAAAATTATATATCATAATTTATATTAATATAAAAATATAAAATAAATTTTTTATTTTATTAAATTTATTTATAATTATTAAAATTTTAAATTATATTAATTTTACCATTTTTATTTATATTCTTTATATCATATCGTCATAACAGGTTATAAACCATTAAAAACTTAAGAACATGACCCACGAACCAAACCACAAGAAAATATTAGCAATAGGTAGTTCCGGTTATCTTCCCGTCAAGTTTTCAGTTCGCTAAGATCAGAAGGAAAAACCCATTAATCAGATATGATGTCGTTACCAAATTCAGAGATTCTTGACATTTAGATAAAAAAATAATTTAAATTTAGACAAGGAAAAACCCAATAAGAAATAAATTAAAAGAGCTTAGATTGAAATTTCAAAAGATTTTTTTTTTTTTCTCTTTGCTTCTCATTACTTTTCTTCCATTTTCTTTGTTCCCTGAAATCTATACTTAAAAACATGGCAATAAACAGGTAAAAGTTATTAAAAAAAAGTCCATTTTTTTCCTTCTCATTTTCCCTTTTTAACCAATCTCTCTCTGTCTCTGTGCATTAACCAAAATTATTTTTCTCAGCCTAATTCCCATATTAAGAAAAACAAAAGCCTTGTTTTTTCTTTTTCTTTTTTTTTTTCTCAATTAAACATGAAAAAACTTTAGTCAATCATGCTCACCGCAACTCGGCTCATAGCCATTAACATTCCCAAATCCCCCATCCAAACACATATCCATTTCCCCTCCGGAAACGCCACCGTTTTGTTGCTGCATCTGCACCACATAATTTCTCACCTCCACCCTTATCATCTCTTGCATCACCGCCATAAACTCCGCACTGAACCCCATCACCCCACCTCCCCTTCCTTCGTTTTTCGCTTCGTTCCTTATCTGAGTTGACTCCGTGACCCGGTTGATTGAAACCTCACATGACTCGGCCCCCGGTAAAGACAGACTCAGTGAAGTCGGGGGATCGATAGAAGTGGACGACGCCGCTTCAACTCCAGCTGGCATAACATTGACGTCGACGTCGACGTTAACGTTAACTCCACCGGTCCTCGGGATGGGCTTGTACACGTGTGAAGATGATAAAACGAGTACACTGGAATCACTCATATCGGATCCCGATGGGCTTCCTGGGCTCATGTAAAGCCCAACACTTACCGATCTTTTCAACGGTTGTCTCTCCTCCCCTTCCAAATTACCATCATACCCACCATTAGTCATAAAATTACACTCTTCCCGAACCGACAAGCACTTACGTTTTAGCGTTGAGTTCCAGTGGTTTTTAATGGCGTTGTCGGTACGACCGTCGAGGAGTCGAGCTATGGTGGCCCACTTGTTACCGATCCGGGCATGAGCTCGGATGATGGTCTCGTTTTCCTCGGGAGTGAAGGCCCGGTGCTCAACTTGCGGTGACAGTTGGTTGCACCATCGAAGCCGACAGGATTTCCCGGATCGACCCGGGATTGATTTGCTGATCAAAGACCAGTTTCCGGGGCCATGTTTTTGAACCAGTTTCTGGAGCAAGTCATCTTCATGGGGACTCCATGGACCTTTGATCCGATCAATTTCTTTTCTGTTTGATGTGCTTGTTACAGCCATGAAATCAAATTTAAAAGGATGCAAAAGAAATTTTGGTTCTTTGGGTGTGTTATCGGGGTTCTTTCTTCTTCTTCTTTTTTTTTTTTTCCAGGTTGAAGTTTGAAGGGAGACCGAGTCAGAGCGGGACAGAGAAGGGGATTATATAAGAGAGGAGAGGGAAGTAGCCGGTTGAAACAGTGAGGGTAAAGCGAGGAGGAGCGTTGTGGGCACCGATTGTTCCAGTTAAGCGGTTGGCGGAAAGGGTGGCTTGGGATACAACTGGCGAACGGACACGCGTCACATCTGAACTGCACAGATTTACATAAGTCGCTATCTCTTAATGTCTTTTTTTTTTTTTCTCTTCCGTTTTGAGCTCTTTTGTCACTCTCTGACATTGGCGCGTCTGTCTCAATCTTTGTGTTTGTAAAGAGAAAACTTAAGAGAATTAATATTATTGCATGTAAAGCAAATAAATTACATGTTTGGTTACAATTTTTTTTATATTAATCAACCATGATGTGATTATTTATAGGTACGAATATTTATTTTGAAATTATAAGTAAAATTTAATGTAAATTATTTAAAGATATTGATCACGGGACAGCTAAAATATAACAAAAATCTATTTACAAAATATAAATTTTAGCTGTAAAAGTTTTATGAAATATTTTTGACGCTTTGCAAATGTTTATAAATTACTTTTGATTTTTTTTATAAAAATAAATATATTAATTTTTAACATTTTATTAATATTAAATTTAAAAGATGTTTGATTCATGAAATTTAATATTTTAAAAAATATATGATTTTTAAAAATTATTTTACTTAATAAATTTCGTATAAAATTAGATTCATATATTTGTTTGAAAATAAGTTGATTAGAAAATGTAAAATTATTTAATAACATTTTTTATTATATTATTGTTGATATCATATTGATAGTCTTTGTATATTTTTTTATAATAACGTTAAATAAAAATATTTTTAAAGAATAAGTAAATAATTTAATATGTTAAATAAATAAATATTTTATATAATAATTTCTTAAATTAATTAATTAATTAATTAAAATGATATAGAGTTATAGACGGCGTTTAATAGACTTCTCAAAGCAAAAGTAATCACAAATTCACTAGTGAAATAGCCTACGGTTCCTTGAAGGAAATGTAATCTACATCATTTTTCAATCTTTTTAAATTTTTTATTATTTACAACAAATCCGATGTGATAAACTCACCACAGAGCCACAAAACATCCATATCTAGTGGTGGGTTTGGTACATTCACGTGCGGCTTATGGTCTCAAAGACAACATTTTTCATTCCAAACGTTATCTTTGTTACAAATTTTTTTTAAAATATAAAATTTTTAATTTAAACTTTAAATAAAAACAACATTTTCATTTTAAAAAATGTTGGTTTTGTTTAGCATAGATAACGTCTTAAAAATAAAAGCATAAGGTATTATTAAAATTTTAAAATTCTGAAAATAATTTTTTCATAACATATTTTTAAAAAAGATTATGTTTTTAATTTTAAAAACATCATTTTTGTTGAAATTATAAAATTTTGAAAAATATTTTTTATAATATATTGAATTAACATTTAAAAATAACTTTATTTTATTATTTCTAGTTATTGTTTATTTTGTAAAATGAAATAAATGAAAAAACCATAGTTACTATAATTTTAAGATATTCTAAAAAATAATATAATATAATATTACAATTAAATGAGTACAAATAAGATAAAATTTTTACTTTTTCCGAAATCTAAAAAGATTTCATGAAAAGGAAAATTTTTTATTCCTTTATTTTTCTTTTTTTCACATTATTAAAAATTTTAAAAATTTTCAAAAACCACATTTCTTAAATAAAACTAAAAAAAATAAAACTATAAAAATAAAATTTTGATAAAAAAACCTTATTTTTTCTTGAACCAAAATATCCCCTTCGAGCACACTACAAGTACAAATTGTAAAAAATTAAGATAGTGTTTGGTTTTAGAAAATAAAAAAAATTTTAAAATTTTTTTAAATAAAAATATGAGCGAAAATATATTTGATAATTGAAAATGAAAATAAATTTTTAAAAAATAAAAGTAAAAATATGTTGAAGTATAAAAACAAATATATATATTTTTAATTAAGAAAATAAGAGATATACATTTTTTTTTGTGTTTTACAAGTTAACATATTTGATCACTTTTTAATATTATTAATTAACAAATATATATTATATTTATAATTAGATACTGTTAATAATATTATTATTTAATATTTTATTTAAATTTTATTGTTATATTTTTAGAAAATAATTTTATTTTTATTTATCAAATATATTTTTTTAAAAACAAAAAATAAAAAATAAAAATTATTTAAAAAAAAAAAGCAGAAAACATTCTCAAACCGAACATAGCCTAATATTAAAGCCGTAGCAATATCGAAATTGAATACTCCCATCTCATTTTAGAAAAAAAAAATGGTGGATTTACGAAGGAGTTTCCTTGGTGTTTTGGCGACAGTGCTTACACGAGCCAAAGTAAAACCGTTGAATACGTTTGCTTCTTACTCACTGTTCTGGACGTTATAGAGACAAAACCGAACGCTGCTTACCATAATGTATCACCGAAGTAACAAATAAAATAATTAATTTCATTTTTAAAAAATTTCATAAAAGATAAAGATTTTTTTTATTTTAAAGAAGGCAGAGTTTAAAAAAATATATATATTTGAGTCGAACCCAACTTTATATCTTTTTAAGGTTTGCTTGGCCGCTGTACCAAACAGCTAAAGACACAAAAAATAAAGATGATAACGGTTGGGTAGAGTTTGAGCGTGAGTTTGACTGACGACGCCAGCCTGTATAGCATTTTCGTGTGGGATTTTTCTTTACTTTTTTAAATACTTTTTCTTTTAAATTTAAATCCAAGTAGCAGATGAAAAAAAAAGGGACCGCACGGAAATGCTGACCTGGCACAAAACTACAAGATTGGTCGCCTAATCGGAAGGCGAATCATTACCGCTTTCCTGTCCAGTCCAGCCTGTAAACCTGCCACGACCTTTAACGTCCTCTTTTATTTAACCGCCACATGTCGGTCCTTCATCCCTTTCTCTTCACCCTTAAAACCGTCCTTGCATACTTTGCTTCACCTTACCGGAACTAGCAAAGTGGACCCCAATCTAATCAAACATGAATGATAGAAATGTACGATTGTAATTTATTCGCTTATTTTTTAAAATATTTATATAAAAAATTATTTAATTTATTTATATTTAATTTAATTAAATAATAAATTATTCATATTTAATTTATATTAAATTAAATTAAATAAGATTATTCATAAATGTTAAATAAATAATAAACGAATCTTAAACTATAAATAATAAATTAATCTTAAATAAATAAATTATAATTAATAAATTTAAATAAAATTTTTTTAAAAAATATAAATAAATATAAATAAATTTAAAATAATATTAAAATAAAAATAAAATTTTATTAATATTATTATAAATAAATAATAAACTAATGAATTTTAATGCTTGTTGTTTGGTCCGAAGGAGAGGGATGTTGGATTTTTTTTAATACTCCATTCAATGATTTATTTTTTGTCTGAATCATTTTTGGTTAATATTGCTTTTTCTCTTTTACAAAAAAAAAAAAAATTTGTTGATTGACTTTGGACCTTGGGTCTGTCGGTAGTGCTGGAAAATGTAGTCAGAAAAATTACACTCGATGTCCGGAATGGAAGATGATTATGTCACTCTATTTAATGGATTAATGGATTTTTCTTTTCTTTTTTTTTTTTTATCTAAATGAGTATCAGGAGAATTTTGTTTTCGATTAAGATAATCGGGTACTATAGTATTTGAGTATAGGGACCAGTGAAATAATATTTGTTTTACAGGTCACTAGATATTCGATATATATAAAATATAAAATATTTTATATTTTATAATTAAAATAATATATAATTTACAAAAAAAAATTACATACCAATTATCAAAAAAATTATTTAGATTTTATTGAATTGCGTTAATGTATGTTTGTGATATGTGATTTTTTAATTATTTTATTATTTTTTAAAAATTAAAAACGCATATTCAAGTGAAATTCAAGTGTTGAAATCGATGTACTACAATATTATTCAATGGGCGCGAATAAAAAATGAATATAAATATCAAAATGAAGTACGGGACGAAGAGTTTCATATCCACTCTGACAGTGTAACACATTGCCATCACCGTAACCAATTCGTGTTTTTAAGCGTCTTCTTCAAATTACAATACTTTCAGCTTTGTAATTGTTGGATAAGAACAGCTGACAGGCTAGCCACTCTCTTCTTTTTTCACATAAAATTTTATTTTTGTTGTGTTTTTTTTTTTTAATAAATTAAAATTATTTATCTAAAATTAGCAGCCATTGCTAGAGGTCATATCCTGGTTGCCCACGTGACAATTCATTAATAAGCTTATTTGTATTAATTATCGTATTAGGATGAAACTTTTAAAATAAAAAGTGAAGTGCAATGTTAACTCTATCACGTGCATCAGCCTCGCCCCGAGGAGACACACGTGCGACTTGCATCCTCCAAACGAAGCAAAATGTTTGGGCATTTTGGAAATTTTGAAATGGTACGTGTGGCTGTATGGGTATAAAGATCTTATGTACGGTCGATGAATATATTTATCTCATGTCATGCGATAACATGCGTATTCATTAAATAAAATGAGTATTTATTTTTTTTAAAATTTAAAAGACAAATGTTTATTTAACTTTAAAAATATTTTATTTGAAATAAATCTATTTTTTTATTTTTCATATCAAATAAAATAAAAATTAATTATCTATTTTTTCTCCTTTTTTTTATTTTTCTTCTTTCCTACCAAACGTAGTATTAAGTTTAGATACAAAATCGTTGATTGTTAAAATATTGATTGGTCGGTCCATTATTTAATAAAAAATGCAATTACCCATTAGGACCACAAGCAAGCATCCATGTACATTTGTCGATGCTTTTCCCAACCAATTTTCAAGTGTGCCTTTGAATATTTCTATTGGGAAACATGTTTTCCAAATCATATGGTTTTAAATACTGGGTAGATCTATTAATCAAAAAAAAATTTTTAAATTTGCTTATAAGTAGAATTTAAGTTTATATCTTATGAATAAGAGTAAAAATCTTACCCATCCAATCACAAAATAAACAAGTCTATAGCTTACTTCATTCTTATCAATGAAAAATTTTTTTTGAATAAAAATAATTTTATTAACGAATACTTTAATAACATTTGGTAAGGTTATTATGTTTACGCGAAATGATAATCAATATCTAGAGTTATTTAAAGTTTTGTTTTAATTTTTTTATTTAATGGATAACAATGAATTATCTATTATCTGTAGTCAGACAGGCACGTGGAAAACGAGGGGCA